TATGAGTCATTGATTCCAATAATTTGAACTTTTTTTTTTTAATCGAAAAAAAAATAAGGAGGAAAAGCTGTCACAAAATCGGAATGGCAGGGTTAAATTCAGTATAGATTAAAGTTATTTTTGAGAAAAAAAAATTGAGAATCGAAGGTGTCAAACTTCGAAAAAATTATGATTTTATTAAAAAAACTTAAATATCTTATATATAGAGACATCTGAGACTTTTTTTGTATTGTTTACTAGAAACTTCGTTTAAAAACAAACATTTTAAGACAAAAAAACGGTATGAAAAGTAAATTTCTAAAAAAATTACAGCTATTTGAAAAAAAAGAGCCGTTTTGTTGAAAAATTCATAACTTTTTTTGGAGTGGCTAAAAAAATTTGAAAAAATTCTGAAAATCCTCTTTCATAGGGTAGAAAAAGATAAAAAATTTTCAGTAGAATCAAAGGGGGTCGAGCCCAAACCTCGGTGATTTGGTATGGAATGCCCCATATATATTTAAAAAAAAATAGAAAAACGGTTCACCCTAAAGGCCATCCCTGCAACTTCCCGCTAATTCCATACCTAGGCGCTTAAAATTGTACTTATGACATTGTTGAGATTTTTGAGCTCAAAATATAATTTATGTGATATTTTGAGCTAGCTGAGTTTAAAGAAATAATATTTCTATGCATTTGAACTCTCCTAGCTCAAAAGTCTGATAGAAGTTTCATAGCACACTATTTTTGGAATTTTCAAACCGCAATAACACTTGAATGGATCAACTAATTTTCACGCAGTTGACGCCATTCGACGCAGTTTTATCATCCTCATAAGTTATTTTCAGGTTTTAATTGATCGAACCAAAAATTTCGGAGTAATCCCGAAAAAACACTTTTTTCAGTTTTCTTTCGTTCACGATATCTCTTGAACTAATCAAACGATTTTAACCAACTTGGTGGCAATCGACGTGGTTTTATAATTTTAAGAGCTGATTAGTTTTTGAAATCGATCGGTAGAGCTGTTTGAAAGTTATTCTAAAAAATGTCGGAGTTATAGTGAAAAAATCCTTATTTCCAAATATTTCGTCGAGGATATCTCTCGAACCAATCAACCGATTATTACGTTCTTGGCGGCGATCAACGCGGTTTTTTGAGCTCTGAAATTATTCTATGTCATCAAAAACGATCCGAGAAGAAATAACGAAAGTATGTGAAAAAAACACTTTTTTCGGTTTTTTTCGGATTTCTTTCGTTCACGATATTTTTCGAACGAATCAACCGATTTTGACCGGATTAGCGACGATCGGCGTGGTTTTTCAAGCTTAAGGGCGGATTAGTTTTTGAAGTTGATCGATCGAGCCGTTTAAAAGATATTCCAAAAAAACCACTTTCAAAAAAATTTTTTTCCGATTTTTTTTTGAGATTTCTCGAAATTTCTCAAAATCTACACTGTAAAAAAAACCGGGGTAAGTCCAAAGCGGTGTAGGTGTTAAAATTTGCTGTGTTAAATTCTAGCACCGAAAGCGGTGTTAAAATAACACCGCTGCCGGTATAAATATTTTTTTCCGGTATTAAAGCGGTGTTAAAATATTTCTCGATGTTGAAGATATTCTACTTTGTGAATACTTTTATTCACTAAATTACTACTATTGGGCAGTACTAGAAGGATGGGCAGAGTTTATGGGTGTTTAATTAACAACACGTAAGATTATTAAATCAAACTCTATAAATTCTCTTAAAATACAGTATAGTAATATTCTCAAATATTCAACGATGCATACACAACTATGTGTGGCGGACAAGTGAAGCCAAGGAGCACCGACGTGCCTCGGTGCGACCGGCGTGGCGGACATGCGCATTAGCGTGTGTTCTCTCACACATATACATCTATCAAAGACTCTCCAACACTCCCTCCCTTTGATAGATTCTCTGCCTCTTATGCTCTAGCTGTAACAGAAATATAAGCAAAATTTTGATTAGTTTAACTTACCAATTTTTCTTTGAGATATTTATGACTCTCTAAAGCTAATGGTTTAGTCATTATATCTGCTATATTTTCCTTGATTGTTATCCAGTAAACTCTAACTCTATTTTCTTCTACGCATTGTTTTATGAAGTTTCCGGGGGTATTTGCCATGTGTTTTCGACTTCCTTTCTTTTCTTTCTCCAATAGATTTTCTCTGATTTTCTCTAAGTTGTCGTCAAACATCTTCAGTTTGTGACTTCCGTCCTTCTTGGTGCAGTCTTCTGCAGATCTGTTGTCGCACCAAATCGTTGCTGGTAAAAGTGTCTTTCCAATTGCGAATCTTGTAGCTTTATCTAGTGATATGATCTCTTGACATGAGTCGCTCATAGCTAGATATTCAGCTTGGCATGTTGATAATGTCACGTAACTCTGTTTGTGACTTTGCCATGCGATCACATCTCCAAATAATTTAATTACGTACCCACTGGTTGATGTTGAATCATCGTGATCTCTAAAGCTCGCATCTGTGAAAGCCTCTAAACATTCTTTTTCACCTTTATATCTCAGACCTAAGGATGAAGTCCCTCTTAGATACCTGAATACTCTTTTTACGTCTAGCCAGTCACTTTCTGTGGGTTCCAGCTGTTTTCTGGCTTAGTAATTTACTGCAAACGCAATGTCAGGTCTGGTTGCGTTTGATAGGTACATTAGACTGCCTATAGCTTCTCTGAATGGTACTCTTTTGATTTCTTTACTCTTAAGTGTGTCTTCTGACTCTGGATCTTCTGTCTTCTTTCTTTTACTCTTGTTCTCGACTTGTCTTGTGACCATTGGTGTGCTCTGGGGTTTGCATTCTTTCATGTTGAATTTTTCTAATACGTTCTCTATATATTTCTCTTGATTGATGGTCATCCAGCCTTCTTCTATGTTTCTCTGAATTTGCATTCCTAAGAAATTCTTTGGTTCACCTAAGTCTTTCATCTCAAATGCTTTACTTCTTAAATGTCTCTTAATTTCTTCTAATTTTGTTTTCTCGTCGCTTGCTACGATTATATCGTCTACGTATATCACTAGTATTGCCATTTTACCATCTTTTCTCCATGTGTATAAGCAAGGCTCGTGTAAATCGTTCTCTAAGTCAAGTTTCTTAATTTCCTTTGTAAGTCTCTTGTTCCATCTCTTTGAACTTGTTTTTAATCCATAAAGTGATTTCTCTAGCTTGTATACTTTAATATCTTCTGCCTGTTCATCCAATTCTAAACCCTCTGGGATCTCCATGTAAACTTCTTCCTCTAGTGTCCCGTTGAGAAAAGCTGTTTTTACATCTAGCTGGTTTGCATGTAGTTTATATTTATTTATTATCGCCAGTACAGCTCTGATTACTGGGGGTCTTGATACGGGTGCATATGTCTCTCTGAGATCATATGTATTTTTGTCTTTGAAGCCTCTGATCACCAATCTGGCTTTGAATTTTGTGGTTCCATCTGGCTCTTGTTTTCTCTTGAATACCCACTTTAAGTCGATAATATTTGCTCTGTTTCTTTCTTTTTGTATCTCTGATTTGTTAACTAGTTTCCAGACGTTGTTTTTGCTCATGGACTTGAGTTCTTCTTCGATTGCCTTTTTCCATTGTGCTTTCTCTTTGGTTTGCATAGCTTCACTATAACTTGAAGGATCTTTGTTTATAGATGCAAATAACCATTGTAATTTTTCATCTTCATCTTCAGTTCTATCATTTCTTGAACTCTTCGTGAAGCTGGAATCTTCAATTAATCTGTGGACATGACCTTCTCTATCATCATTCTCTAAATCTCGTTTTCTCTTACTTCTTGTGTGTGGTTTATCTAGTCTCTCTTGTCTCTTGATGTTTTGTTCATTTTCTCTTGGTGACTTTGTCTTTTTACTTGGTCTACCACGTTTCTTTGGCTCTGGTTTTGTGTTCATTGGTGGAGTTTCCTTTTCGGTTACTTCATTCGACTCTGTTTTTGGATTCCATTCTATTTGTGATTCTTTCTCTGATATCACCTCTCCCTCCTCTGTTTGACTCTTTTTGTATACGTCTTTATATACAATTTTCTCGTTGAATCTCACGTGTCTTGACTCCAGGAATTTTCTTGAACTTGGATGCCACAGAAGATATCCTGTAGGTTTATATCCAACGAGGACTGCTTTGATTGCTCTTTCACTGAATTTTGAAGTAGGTTTTGGTATTTTTATGTACCCTATGCATCCAAATCTCTTAATTTGCTCGAAATGATTATTTGTTTTGGGTGCGAATTTATTTAATGGTGTTTCATAATTAATAGTCTTGTGTGGAGTTCTGTTGTATGCATGCATGGCAGCATCCACAGCTAACTCCCACATGCTTGGAGGTAGTCCAGAGTCAAGCATGTTCTGACTTTTCTCTGGATCGTTGCATTGAATCTCACTGATACTCCATTGTGCTCTGGTGTGTATGGCGATGCAAACTCTGTTTCAATTTTCTCTCTTTTTAAAATCTCTTGAAATGTTTTACCTGTAAGTTCTGTACCCTGGTCTGATCTTAACATATCTTTTCATCTTTCCCGAGTAGATTGCGAGTTGATACTATAAATTTTTCTAGAGTTTCACCTGACTCGTCCTTGGATTTTGTAGAGTATGTTCTGGCTAACCTTGAGAAATCATTGATGAATACTGTTATGAATCTCTTCTGTCCAGGATATGATGTTGGTTTGATTGGTCCCATGGTGTCTGAGTGGATTCTTAGTAGTGGTCGTTCTGCTCTGACTCTTGATTCCTTGAAGGATAATTTTTGCATGTTTGCTATTGCACACACTTCACACTCTGAAATGGATTTGTCGAATTTTATTTTCTCAAATCTCTTGTCGATGCTCTGGAGTTTCTTTAAATAATTTAATGAGGCGTGTCCTAGCCTCATATGCCATAACATAGCCTCATTTATTTTCTCTGAGTCATCTTTGTTCTTCTCTAAATTTGTTGATATGATGTTCTCTATGTTTTGTATGGACTCTATATCGTCTACTTTTAATGTGTCTCTGGTAATTAAGCTTGCATCCTAGTTTTCTTCGTTTTTATTTAAGTCTTCTGATGTTGTTTCTGTTGTTTCTGATTCTCTTTGGGACTCCTCTGACTTTGATGAAGACGCATGACTTACTTCCTCCCTCCCAATCACATGATCTATCATTTTTCTATTTTTCTCTACTCCCTCCGACTCTAAAAATTTTTTGTCTTGATAGATTTCATGTGATTGTTTACGAATTTCATCGTCTTTCATCATCACAGCTCTGCAGCAGTACGTGTCGTACTCGTCGAATGATTTAGTTTGCTTTTTTGTGTGCTTCTTGACTCTGAAGTTTAGAATCCAGTTAGGTTTTTCATATTGTCCAGTCAATACTATCTTGTTTGTCTCTTTCTCTGTTACTTCTAAATTTTTATCATTTAAGTTTATGCTAAACCCTGCATCAACTAATTTTCTTAATGATAACAAATTTTCCGAAATATCTTTTGCACTAATTACGTTGGATAACTTAATTGTATTGTTTTCATCGCCGGTTGTGTGAAGCAACAGATATTAGCAGCTTCATTTTTATTTGCACTCTTTATTACTCTATCTCTCTCTACATTTTGTAAAGTTACTCAGAATTAGACTATCGTTAATGACGTGGTCTGTTGCTCCTGAATCGGCTATGAAACTTATGTAATTGTTTGTTTGACTCTTACCTTCACTCTCATCATCTGAATCTTTTACTCTTCTAGCTTTGATGTTTCTTGACTCTTTATCTTTATTGTTATTGTTTTTGTAGTTATTTTTATTATTTTTAAACCCTTTCTTTTCTTGATTCTCTAACCCATTTGTTTTAGTTTTATAATCTCTTTTGTTATTAGAGTCATATCTCTTAGTTTGTTTAGATTTAAAATTATCATGAGTTTTAAATGTTTTACCTCTAGAATTGTCAACATACCTCTTATTCAGTTTAACTGATCCGGAGTTGTGATCTGTACCTTTATGATCTACTACAGACTCACAAATGTAACAATGCCATAATCCTTTTGGTTTTAATGGGCATTCCTTCTCCCAGTGACCAAATTTTGAGCAGCGGTGACACTTGTCGATTTTGGAGTTGGTGTTTACTCTGTTCGCTTTGACCTCTTGTGACTCGCTTCTCTTCTCTGCCTCTAACTGTAAAATGAATGATTTTATTTCTTCCAAACTCATTTCATTGGAATTAGTTCTTCTAATTAAATCAGCGTCTCTTAGTTGGGGTATTATGGGTGTAACTGCTTGATAAAAGGCTGATCTCAGCTCTTGTGCAGTTAGTGGTTCTCCGCTACCACAAGTTTCGTATTCTCTAACAATTGCATCAAATCTTTCACAGAAATCGACTACTGACTCGTTTTTCTGCATTTTAAGCGCGTATAAATTTTTTCGAACCGAAGCAGATATTACATTGGTTTCGTCTCGACGTTGGCCTTTTAATTTTTTAATTATTTCAGCTGGTTCGGTAATATTTAGTATTCTTTTATGGTAATACTCATCAATGTGGTTGATGATGATATCTCTAACTAAATTTTTCTTTTTATCAAGCATCGGTTCTGGTGATTCTGTGTTATTCGTGGATTTTGACTCTAATACCTCTAATAACTCATGACTGGTTAACTCTGATTTTAAATAGTCATACCAAATATCAAAGTTTGATTTTTGGGTTAACTTATAATCTCTCTTAATATTTATTTTCGCGTTTGTTAAATCTTTTTGCTCTAAACTTCTTTTAATTGACTCTAACTCTTTACTAAATTGATTTTCATCATTTTTGTATCTCTTAATGGGGCTTGACTGGGTTATATTAGATTTTCTTTTATTTGATTCTGATTTTGCGTTAGAAAAATTAGGGTTTACCTCTAAGAGTCTGTTTCTCTCTTTAATTGCCTCGACCTCTTTTCCTCCAAGTTCTGTCAGCATGCTCGCCATCTTCATGTTTTCAATGGTAACTTGGTTTAACTTCTCGCAGGTCTTCTTGAGCAATATGGCAGTATCTGACATGTTTGCTGCATGTCTTGCCATTAGCTCCATTGAAGAAGT